CTGGGGGCTCGCCCGCCTAGTTCTATGTTTGTTAAGTGTGTAGAAAACGCTAAACAATGATTCGAACCTGACTTTCTCTCCAGATAAGACAATGTTGGCCGAGAGGATTCCGGTTCCATCCAGTCCTGTCCCCATAGCAACCATCGACTTGGTCCAGCAGCAGCCGGAGGACGTCCTGCCGCGCGTGGAGCCACGCCTCCCACCCAAGAAGACCAAGCACCAGGAGGAGCAGGAGGACGCCAGCAAGCCCGCCTGGGGCGTCAGCGCCTCCCCCTGGGTGACCTTTGTCTACGCCCTCTACCAGGTGAAGGAGATGATGCTGCTCGCCAGGGAGAGCCACGCCTCGGAGATCCAGCCTCTGCAGGTAGCGCCCCTCAGCCGGCCTCCCGCCCCTGGGCAGGCCCTCTGTCAGCTGTGCGCTCCGGGTTTGTGGGAGGCCTGTGGGGTGATCTCATTGCTCCGTGACAGGTGTGTAGTGGAGGTGTATGCAGCCTCCTGGAGAGGGCACTGTGCCTGCTGGAGCTAACACACATCTTCTTCTGATTTTGCGTTAAATTCTCAGCATCGATGGGTTGCAGCCGCAGTAGGAAGATGTGTCTGTAATTCTGAGACTCTCTGGGCACAGGCTAAGGAACAGGCCCTGAGGGTGTCTGGTGAGGCAGTGGTCACACTGAGCCTGTGTGGGCTGATGAGGACATTAACTTGGTGGAAGTGTAGTTTCGCTGGGGCCTCACGTGAAAAGTAAATGGTGTGATTTTCTTGCCTTAGAAGTATGGTCTCTCCTGAGTGGAGTCTGCTGCGGTCGATGAAACTGGGTAACTGAGCGCCAGCCACCTCTGGGGGAGGCTGAGTGTGCGTCTGGGGCAGCCGGCCACGGCAGTGGGCCCGCCTCCCTGCCGGCGTCACCCACTGCCTTCCATCCGGTGGGTCGGTCACGGCCGCCCCGTGTCTGGCGTAGCTTCAGGGGACACATCAGAAAAGAGAAGGGCAAAGACTTAAACACAAAGAGCCATTTGGCAACTTCCTTTTTAGAAGATTGGAACCGTCTTTATCACGACCTTGTAAACTCACATATAATATTTCTGTAATTTAAACCAAGCCTCCTCATCACTGATAAGCATGATGCCTTCTGGCCTAGGCATGACCCTCCTTCTGAAGGTCACAAACTCACCGGGTCCCCTGCGTGTCAGGAAGGAGCACGTCGGTGGGCGGGGCACCAACGCTGTGAGGCCGGGCCGTGAGGCCGGGATGCAAGGCAGGAGAAAGGATGGCTTTTTTTTTTTTTTTTTTTGCTATCATCATCTTCTCTTCATTATTTTTTTTCCTTATTGATTAAGGTATTACATATGTGTCCTTATCCCCCCATTGTCCCCCCCCACCTTCCCCCCACTCATGCCCTCACCACCCTATTCTCTGTTGTCTGTGTCCATTGGTTAGGCATATATCCTTGCATATAAATCCTTTGGTTGATCTCTCCCCCTTACCACCACCCTCCCCTACCTTCCCTCTGAGGTTTGATGGTCTGATTGATGCTTCTATGTCTCTGGATCTGTTTTTGTTCATCGGTTTACGTTGTCCATTATATTCCACAAATGAGTGAGATCATGTGGTATTTATCTTTCTCCGACTGGCTTATTACGCTTAGCATAATGCTCTCCAGGTCCATGCATGCTGTTGCAAATGGTAGGAGTTCCTTCCTTTTTATAGCAGCATAGTATTCCATTGTGTAGATGTGCCACAGAAACTAGAAACACCAATCAGAAAGGACATATGCACCCCTATGTTCATAGCAGCACAATCCACCATAGCTAAGATTTGGAAACAGCTTAAGTGCCCACCAGCAGATGAGTGGATTAGAAAGGATGGCTTTTGCACAAACAGTTTTCATTACGTTGGGTACTTAACTCCTCATTTTCACCAAAGCCTCTGAGGCTTAAGGACCGTCACAGTTTTTTTCTGGCATGATAACATTTTATGCTAATAAAAGCTGCTAGTATGGCTCAGTCTTAGGAAGAAGCCATGACTAAGATGTTTTTTCATTTTAGAATCAATCGCAGAAATAAAGCGTTTTGTGTGGCGCCCAGCTATGTGAAGTGGCAGCACTGGCTCAGAGGAAAGCCGTGTGTGGTTGGTTTAAAGCACGTGCCCTGGTTGTAGGGATCAGGGGTGAGTGCGTGGCCTCAGCAGGAGGCCCGGCCGCAGGTCCCACGTTGTTAGCCCAGGGACTCGCCGCGGCTGGCGGCTCCGACATCTGTGCGATGTCCATGGTGCCCGGGTAGTGGCAGGCGTGTGGACAGGGATGCTCCTTTCCCACGAGGTCTGTCTGCTCACAGTGTTTGTGTTTTTTCATGCGGCTCTGGCAGTTGCACACAGGAAAAGAGATGTAAGGTAAGCCCATCTCCTCCCCTCCTCTCCTCCTGGCCCCCCGAGCGGTCCCCGGATGCCCTCCCGTGCCTGCATCTCACGGGGGAAGCGTGCGGAAAAGGTGCTTTGCTGGACCACAGCCGCCTTCCTTCCGTTCTTCTCCTTCCAGGGGACCAGTGAGAACCGGGGAGACTCGCCCGCTGCTGGAGCCCGGCCCGCCCCCAGTGACAAGCCCTCTGACCCACCTAGCAGCCAGCCGCCCCCTCCATCAGCAGCATCGCAGAGCAGCTCCGCCCACCCCAGCTCCAACCAGCCTGCAGAGGGTGGGG